GTATGTCAACATATTCTGTTACACCAAATACACAAAATAATGCACAAAATCATAGCATCATATGACCCCTTTAAATGTTCCCTCCTGGTGGAATGACCTGCCCAACTCAGTCCATCTTCAAGAATCGGCTAAAAACATATCTCTTCCATCTTTATTTGACTCTCTAACTCTAGCACTCTCTATTCTAATTCTATTCTTTATATTAAAAAAAAACGAACCCTTGCTTCTCTAATTTTTTTGCATTCTATCTAGGCCTATTTGTTTTCTTTTTTTATTATACAATTATAATTCTGACTTTCTGACTTCTGATTAACAAAAGCAAAAAAGGCCTCTAACACTAGCTTGCTCTATTCTTTTTCTATTCTATCTGTTTTCTTTTTATTTATTATATGATTAAAAAAAACCTTGCTACGTGTACTGCATTAAGCTAACTGAGACTTGTTATAGCACTTGCATATCATTGGTCTTTTGTTGATTTTGATTGCTTCCATTGTCCTCATTTGTAAGTCGCTTTGGATAAAATGTCCAAATGTCTAAATGTACTGTATATGTACATGAATGAACGTATATTCAAGTTAAACTAAACTGAACCAGAGTAAACTGCCAAAATAGAGAATCGCCATTGCATCAGTCAATATCAGCTTCAAAGTAAGAGAGCACATATTAGCACATATAGACTCACAAATGCATCTAACCTTGAATGTCAATTACATTTCACAACGCAATTGGCTGCTTTTGTTGCTTTCCATCCAGGTGAACACAGAAAACGTGCACAGACAATTCACACAGGACGTGTTCTTACTGATCTGTTTGGTTGCCTCTATGTTTTCAGCATCTTGCACCATGAGCCATTTTTTAATTAGCAAGGAATTCATTTTAGCCAATAAATAAGGCCTACTGGGGGAACTTCAGATAAAATAAATAATATTAATGACGAGCAGAGCATGAGCAAATATAATATGAATATATGGCTGCCGAGTGAAGCTGACTTATAAATTACAGCATACGTAACATAACGCAAAAATAAGGAACAACTGCTACACTCAAATTATTATTATTTTTTTTTTTGATGCTGTTTATGCATTTTATTTAAACAATTCATTTTGATTTAACACCATGTATCAGGTTTGTCATTCAAACATGACTGCATCTTGTTAAATTGACTTGAAAGTTTTGGCTTAACTTGATGTTTTCATTTTGAAATAACATGTTTCAATCAAGTACCTCAAAATATGTTTTACACTTCCCATCATGCTTTGCACAGGACTGGATATGGGGAGAGAAAACGTTGAAATAAAGTGTTATTTTATGCATTTTTTAGTAAATTGAGATAATAGGGAGACTTTTTCATGTCTAATGCTCTATTATGTGGGCATTTTAAAAGACTTTCTATTGGTGTATTTTGTGCGAATTACCATTGTGGTGAAGTGTGGAGCAAGTAGTTGGGTTGAGGACCTGCTTAAATACTTTTTTTTTTAAAGCAACTCCAATGGGAGTGCTAGTGATGTACA